TGCTTGGAAACTATTCTTGCCTCGGGTCATGCAAATCACAAGATTATCTGTAACTGCATTCCTCAGGTCTGACCAGGAAGAGGTGGGGATAGCATAACCCCCATCCTGGAAAAGTGCCATAAACCCCAATCCCTCCCAGTCCCCCAATTTGGAAATCTATCCCAACTTTTCCTATACTTCAAGCTCTGCCCATGGCACCCTAACACCAGAATGTGCCCACTCATGTCAATTGTTAGGTTTCAGAGTTAACAATCTAGCAAGATGAAGGGAGCAGTTTACATTCCTCTAAGAAATACAGGGTTTGATAGTTTGCAGACTCAGGAAAAGAAGCAACATTTGAGATCAGATTTAGAAGGTGTCCTTTACCACCCATAGGCCTGGAAACTTGCTTTTTATATTTAACTGAAAACTTAACTGCTGCAGAAATTGATGGGGCCACCATGGTATTGTGTCCTACCGTGTACTTACTTCACCCTGCCTGGTGCTAAGAGGAGACAGCGGAAGAAAAAGAAGCATAGAAGAACATTAACAAAAAAAAGCCATTTTATTGAAAATGAAATTCAAACTTCAAATTAATATTACAATCATGAGAAAATGCCAAACAATTCAATTTACAGTTGCAACATACAATACAAATAGTCCCTTTGAAGTTGAAGTAAACTGATCCACAATCATTGTCTGTGGCATAAAGCAGAGTGTGTTTGTACAATATGTGCATGAAAAGCAAATCTCAGGTGACAGCATTTGAAAAAATAAAAAATTAAAGCTTGTATTTACACAAAATGCTACAAATACTTTGTTCCAGCGGAAATTCAAGACTGGTAAAGCATATTTAACAACAACAAAAAAAAAAATTGGAATGTCACTCATATTACCTAAAACAAAAGTTACTGTAAAAGTATGGTTTTGGCTGATATACTTAAAAGTACTGCATTAAAAAAAAAAAGCAAAGACTTATCTGTAAACACGGAAGTAAACAAACATCTAAAAAAGTTCTCAGAAAATGTTAAAATGAAATGCATTCTATTTAAAAACAACAAGAAATTCAGGGGTTCAGAGAATGGGGCTTCTTTGAGCTCATGGCTGATCCAGGTTTTAATTATTGCTTTTGCTCATGGCTTGTTGGCCGCGTGCAGCCCGGCGTGGGGCTGAGCTTCGCTTTGCTAAGTGTGAAAGTGCAAAATTTTCCCCACTCAAGATGGTACCTGTGGAAACTGGTAAATCTTTTCTTGGGGGACTGCTGGCAAAAAAGTTCAATGCTAAGAAAGACATAGCAGCTGGTCTTTTAAAAGAAACAATAAATGCCACACGAATGATGCTGTGGGTTAAATAATTTGCTTTACTCATCCGTCCTGACCTGCTGATCCCGATCTGGTTACCCCTAGGAGGAGGGAGAGGAGGATTTAATCCTCCGTTCGGCAAAAGGGACATCGTGCCTGTTGTACTGGCAGTAAATCTTTGGTAGGATAAGAGAGCTGGAAAGTAAAAAAGGCTATTTTTTAATCTTTATATCTATGACCAGTGCCAAAGATTGCCACTCACCAAGGGGAAGGGCTGTCGTACCTTTGAGAAAACTCCTTTCTGATGATGCTAAGCACCTCGCAAAATGTCAAATAATCTGATACGATTTACTACATAGTCCTGGTTGGCTTTTTTTTTCATCTGAAATCCTGATTCAAGAGCATTTCCAAGTGAACTCGAAAGCATTTTCCGAAAGCTTTGATGAGCATCTCTGCCTCAGCCTGCACATCTCCCTCCATGACCAGCCTGACATACCGGGACAGATTTTCCAAAGGCACCAGGAGGGTTCAGGAGCACAGGGGTCTACTGAAAGTCAAGGGGCTGGGGCTCCTTCGTCCGTAGGTACTTAGAAAATCCTTTCCTTCCTATCTCAAGCAGGCAGAGCCAGACGCCTGCCTGCATGGCCAGGGAAGCTGGGGGCACGGATCGAGCACGTGTGCCTGGACCGGGCAGAGACAACGTTTTCAACGTCTGTCCCTAATGGTCCAGTTGAAAAACCGTGGGGACACAAACAGATTCCTGTCCGTACTGAGCAAAACAAAAGTCTGGTCTGTGCTGGATTTATCCAGAAACAAAAACCAAGTGCTTGAATTTTACAACAAAGTCTTAAAAAAAAAAAAAAAAAATCTGGGTTGCTGCCTGCAGCCACTCTTAACAACATTTCAACACAAAAGCACCCTAAAAATTACTTAATATGCATACAGTAAACCTTAAAAAGCCCTTCTCAGCAATAACAAATAATGTACAAATATAGTACCTTTTATTAAATAGGAAACAGCTTGCACTGGCAGTACATCTTTTTCTCTTGCTTACTAAACAAAAAACAAAACTGAAATGTGTAACCAGACACTGGCTTTTTAAGTGCTGCTGAGACTAACAAACGTATTTTACAGTTACAAATAAATGGACAGTGGTATGCTTCAAGCTACCACAAACCAACAATAAATAGAATCAATTACAGCTTCCATCTTTGAAGGAAAACTAAGTATTAGAAGAAAAACAAAGTGTCTTACTTATACTTTAAGCATACTTGGTATACAACCTTTAGAAGGCAAAGATTTTATTAAATTTTTTTTAAGAGCATGTCACCACGCAATTCAGAGGGATGTACCATGCTAAGGTCAACTCGTTTAACAGCTTCGCTGTTAACGAGCGGTGATGGTGTTGTCTGGCTCTGTATGGCTGTGCCCACTATTGATTTATTGCGATACTTTGGAGGTAGCCAAAGTAGAGCCAAGGTGTGGTGGCTGACAGCCCCCTGAGGAGACTGCGGATGGTGATGGCTAAGGTAGGGGAAGGAGGGAGCGCCGGCAAACCCCATCAGCACGTGCCAAACATCCTGCTAAACCAGACTTAACATCACCTGCCTGGGGATAGCGTGGGGAAGGTGGTTCAGCTCCCACCGCATCCAGCTGATGCCGCGTCACCTCCTTGTTTGCTGTAGCAGCCCTGGGCTGGGCAAAATTTGGGCCCCTCAGCTGGATAGTTTGGCGGCAGACAGGTTGGGTAAGGTTTCGGGTGCAATTTGCTCTCCCTGTATCACGTCTGGGAGCCCCAGGGTGGCTTTTAAGGTGACTTTTTATCTTCAGCGTTTGCAGAGGTGAGTATTGCTGCCTTTGTGCTTGTCTCTCTAATATGACAACAGCCACATCAGCTTCAAAGTCAACACAGCATCCTTACGGCTCTAGCATTTAATGCTAGCGGGCGGTGATTCACTACCGGGCAGTTTCTGTCTCAAGTTTTGAACCTTTTTATTCCATCGAGTGGGCTGAAATTGCCAGGGGAGGGGAAAAAATTTTCACCAATTCTCCCTTACTCCCTTTTCTGTGATATTTAACAATTCATTATTTGTAAAATACGGGCTTTGAAATGGTTTTGATTTTTCTCTGGGAAAAAAAAAAAACAAACTGTTGAAATTCAAATCATGCTGTCAAAAGAGAACATCTTAAATATGAATATTTTCAAATTTTGAAGTTCTGAGAAAAATCCTGGGAGAAGAAGAAATTAGGGGAAGGGTGGAAAATATTTCATCCTTCCTACCATTTTTCCAGTGTCTCCACAGCTACTGATTAAAAGGCAAGACTGTGTTGAAGGCAACCAGACAGCTAATAAAAATATTTTAAACACAATATTTCCTTCATAAGTTATATAAAAAGATCCTACATCCAAAATCATTTGATGTGGATGCATTTGGGTTGAGTTTGTTGTTTTTAAGTCACATTGTAAACTGGTTCACACTGGAACTGCTTTTCAAAGTCGGGTAAAGGTTTGAGGTTTACACCATTGCAGATATGTAATAAGTAAAAAAAAAAAACAGTTTTAGAGACCGAAGTCAATATATCATTACATTAAGAAACGTTTAAAGGGTCCAAATGTCATTAAATAATTATAAATATTCTTTTAAAGTTATATGATGATTCATGTTAGCAAACAACCTCAAATTTTACACATTTATAATTTAAAAAAAAAAAATAAAAAAGAACATAGCCAAACACAAATACTATGTATACCATTTTGGCTCTAGTAAAATATATTGCCATTTTCATAATTTGCATAAGTAACAACATTTTGTTTTTTTGTTTTTAAAGGTTTTGGTTGTTATTTTTGGTTTTTGGCTAATCAAAGGTGAAATGAACGGATACAAAAGTAAAAAGGAAACCCCAAGGTTGTCTAGCCTAACGTGAAGACTCATTCTCTTTAAGTACCCAAAAACAAACCAAAAAAGCAATGAACACAGAGAAGTTCCAACTGTTAGCTGCAGCAAGGCTTGGACAGAGTTTTTTGGGACAGCTGTTTTCATCTGAATGTATCATGGCAAAACGGAAGCAACTCGATCTTTGCTTTCCTTTTTATGTGCACCAATACAAGCCAGTTGAATTGCACTACGGGTGTGAAGAGGGTCCCATACATTGTATGATTGCAACTGTATCTGGAGTTCATGGTTAATTTTTTGTTTTGTTTTGTTTTGTTTTTTTAAATAAAAGGGAATGCAGCCTTTGCCTTGCATCACCATGTTTCTCCTGATAGCCGGGGAGTCCGTTCTCTCCTCATTGGCAAAAGTACTCACTAATTATTACAACACTCTAGACAAAAAAAAAAACAAACAAAGGAAAAAAAAAAGGAGGGGGTGATTTTTGTGTGTGTGTAAAAAGTACATTTTAAATATAAAATAAGGTAAAATGTTTCCAAGAAAAAAAAATAAAATATGTGCTTTGATCCGCATAATCTGAAACATGGGTGGTGGTGTGTTGGTAACTCTTGTGTTATTTATGGCCATTATCATCCCATCTACACAGTTGCACATATTGGTAATTTTTTATTATTTTTTTAAAAAAAAACAAAAACAAAAACAAAAACAAAAAACACAAAAACCAGGCACTTCGTAGTTAGTCGACCGTTTGTTTGGGGGTTTTTTTTGTTTGTTTTTGTTTTTTTGGCTCGCCGGGTTCGGGCCGGCTACC